GTCATATAATTACTCCTAAATCTAAAACAAACTAATAAAAACTATTCTATAAAACGAAATATTATATACTAACCACGAAGGTCGTGCTCTCGTCAAACCACAGCTTGTACGAATAGAATTGATCACCATGCAGACGGGTATGGGCCGGAAGCCATCGAAGGCCACGTGGGATTGCGGCCTCGGTAATCTGCGCCCCCGTCTCCGTATGTAGTGGTGTTGTATGAGGAAATCGCTCCCACGGCCAGAGCATCAGTAAAGCGGACCATCCACCAAGGTCGCCACCTAGTGAAGAGGACTGCGTCATTTGCAGTGACCTACCCATATCACGATACATGTAGGATAGAACAACTACTCCCCAGGCGAACCTCCCAGCTCTATGCCAATCCTCCACCAATAGTAGGTACTGCAGATGAACTGAACCTCCAGACCGATCGGGGAACAAAACAGCTCCCATCAGAGATAGAGCATAAGCTCGTGCAAACTGCCCTGTAGTCTTTGGTGATGCATTTGCTGGTAGCTAATCAAAGGTTTCCTGAGCCAAGCAATCCTAATCACACCGCTGGAAAGATCAGTACGAGCCCATCCTAACATTCGAAGACACGTAACCGACCAGTCCTCATCTGGTATGTCTACTATGACGACATCACCATCGATCGCTAAATCAATCAGTGTCCCAACGTCCTCTAAAGTGATCGTCACCTCACCAAACGGCATGTGGAAGGTCGATGTCTCGGGTCGCCAACGCTCTACGAGCGCAGTAATTAAACACTGATCACCAATAAGAGAGACCAATGGCAGAACCGTAAACAAGCCCGCATCGATGAGGTACGTCTGATAATGTGGATGGTACATGAATAAATTGCTCGTACCTCGAATATGGTAAGGTCGATCACCAGCCTATAGTGCACAAAACTTATATTAACTCAATTTCATATGTATTTCTAAATTCAGTTCACCTAGTATTTATATATCTAATTTAAACTTATTCTAATTTTAACATATATTTTATTTCATGCGTAATTATATTCTAATTTCAGTTTAGTTCACCGAATAAAAAAACTATAGAAGTAGTTTAACGACTTACGTCGTTTGCCCAAACCGAGTCAATACGATGGTGCCCATGTCCCCAAAGAAGTATCGGATCCACCGGAGTTGTATCAATTGTCGCAGGTGGTGGTCTCTTGGAATAACTATCCATAAGCCTAGGAACAGGGGGAAAAAATTAATCAGAACATAAAAAAATATAACTAAATTAAAAAAAATCCGGCCGCCGCCGGCGAGTACTCACCTCAGTAGCGGTCGCCACCCTCTCCCCCTTCCTTTGCCGGCGACTGGTTCATCATCGTCGGACATTCTGGATCTAGATATGTTGCTGGCTGATGAAAAGTGGTTGGCAAAATTGGTCGGGTCTGAGGCGGGGCCGCTTGAGTCTCAGGCGAGGCTAGATGAGGCTGGGGCGAAGCCGCCTTCTCTCCAAGCAAGCCTGCTCGGAGTCGGATGGGACCGCTACTTGGAGGAGGAAGGAGAAGCGGGGTTGGTGGTGTTTTCTGGGGGGAGGAAGGAGATGGGATAAGACACGAGTGACAGGGATTCAAAATAAAAAAAAGTACGGGCGCCCCCGCCTGAGACTCGTGCGTGATGGCTCTGCCAGCGGCTCCGCCTGAGTTTCGGGCGGGCTCGCTGCTAATCCTCTACAAACACAATAGCTGTGTAAATTATTTTTAAACCACCATATTGATGGTAAAATTAAAAAAAAAACAATATTTATGAAATTAACCCCCTGTTGCCAACATAGAGAAAGAGGAAAATATGGAGGGGAAGTAGGGGTGGGCATTCGGTCGGTTCGGTTTTGACCGAACCGAAATTATGAATATCGGGTCCCCGAATTCTCCCAAACCTCAAACCGAATTCGAACCGAATTACAATTCGGTTCGGTCGGTTTAAACCGAATTATAATTCGTTTCGGTTTTTAACACAAAACCGAATTTGTGAGGCTACTTGTATATTCTCACTTTTAAATTATTTTTTACTCCTAATATAAACAATAAATATGCAATTATATGCATAATCAATGATAAAATCAAACTTTTCAACACATAAGTCATAAAACATTTCAAATATTTAAGAATAAAAACAACTACAAATATAAAAATCCACCATTTGGAGGTTGCAATTGTAGTATTTCGGTTTTTCGGTCGGAATTTCGGTTCGGTTGAAAGAACCCTGGTTTTCGAAATATCTATATTTACCTTCCGAATTCCGAACCGAATAGCATTATTTTGGTTTTGGTTCGGTTTAATTCAGTTTCGGTTCGGTTCGGGTTTACCGAACCGTTTGCCCACCCCTAAGGGGAAGGGAAAAAGGAAAGGGGAGAAGAAGGAGGGGAAGGAAAATTACTATAGTATCATTAATGAAAGTGTCAACATGATGCTAACTGCTAACACCTAGTATTAGTGATGACAACCAAACCCATGGTCGTAGGTACCCGACCGCTTTCAACCCAGTCAACGCGGGGAACCCCGCTTTGACTGGATATGGGTAAAACCCGCAAAAAGATTGATGAGTATGGTTTTGGAATCCCCCGCCCCATACCCAAACCCACCCCACCAAGAATATTATGTTATATGCATAAAATATAAGGAGTCTATTGTAATTTGTTAATGGAATGAATAGTAATTGAAAGAAAAAACAACATGTTAAAACGTAAGTGATGGCAACCAAATCTTAATTTCATCCTCTTATGTATTAGTTTCATAAATTTGGGCCAGTCGTATCCATATTTGTCACCATATTCTTAATTAATGGTGAGTAGTTGATGGGGTGGGTATTATCCAAGGGTATTCAAAAATCGCAGGTATGGGGATGGGTTAATATTCCACAGCATGGGTAAGAAATGGGTATGAATTTGAGTATTTGGAAATGAAGATCATGAGATTGAATTAGACAAATCCGCCTCAAATCCACACATTGCCATCCCTACGATCCTATCTCATCCTAAGAAAGACTAATCCTATACATCATTCACGAATTTCAAAAGTATTATCCACTAATATTAATTATCAAATTTGCTCAAAATTCTTGCTTCCTTTTCTCCTAGTTTGACAGTCCTTAATTTTGATTGCGGCCAAAATACTCTCATTTGTCATGCTAAGTTGCTAACCAAAGCCAAGTAGGTGGTGGACCTTTTGAAGCATTGGGCTTGTTTTATAGGAATAGAATGCATTTAACGAGCACAACAAGAAAGTTTTGCGGGCCCATAAAATGGAACTGAGCTGAGGAAAGACTTAAGCCCGCCCACTTCAGGATGGAAAGGTTGTTAATCATTTTACCTTCACGTCCCAAAACTTTCCATGCACTTTATAAAGATTAAAGAGGCCACATACGCTCGCTAAGTCGCCTTGAAGGCAAATGAACTGCATTTTCACTACTCAGTGCTACACTGCTACGCAAAAATGAGGACGACTCTACCTATTGTGTGTGTTCTACGAATGTCAATTCATGATTAGAAAATTCATTTCTACGTTACAAATTCAACTCGTATATAAAAGCACCGATATTTAGGAGTATCCTAAGTTCCTCCTTTATACGATTTAACTCAAATCAACCGAACGACTAAATGCACAATAGTTATACACTCTTCTAGAATATTAAGAAAATACCGAAGTTATACATACACTCGCCTATTTAAAACCCCAACTCTTAAATTCACATACAATACACCCAACTAACCATTTCACTAAATAATCAGAAAAACTAACCATTTCAAAATATAGGATATCAAATAAAACAAGAGAAGAAGCTTTATAGGAAGCTGACAATTAGGAATCAATTGCTACCCACCAAATCCCCCAACCTCTTGCTAAAAATCTCAGTATCTCACTGCCTTTTATTTTATAGTAGAGCACACCCTCGCTATAAGATAGCATGTAATTGACCTTACAAGAGACGAATTCGTTGACTTGATTCTTTAGTTAGATGACCGCCTCCTCTGGCCTAATTCATAAATACTGCATATTTCAAATGGAGAATTATATTTTTAAGCAGTGGCGCCGTAGCCAGACATCGAGTTCACTGGGGTCCTTAAAATTTTACTAACATAAATACTTGTGTACCTAATGAATTTTGAGTTAACCGGGGTCCTTGGTGAGCTAACATCGTTGAGAGTATAGGGTCCTAAACTTGAATTATCATACTAAAACCTATATATTTAAAGGGTTTTGTTGCCCAATTATTTGCCAAGTGGGTCTCCTCCTTACCTCCCTCGGCAACTGTTTTTAAGTAGGTAATTTTTAAACAATTTGAATTTGGAACCCCAGATTTAAGATCATTAGTATTATCATTGGACAAAATCGTTATTCACGATGATAAAATATACAACACTGCCAAAAATATTTCTTCTTATGGATGAATTTTCTTAATTAAAATTATACCGATATAGTAAATGTCATACTCAAAATCAAAGGAGGCTGTACGAAAACTTGCAATACCAACTCGCTCTCTGCCCAACCAAACCAAGCCTCTTTTGCCGAGAGTCATTCCCGATATGAGAATAATTTTTATACTTAACGGGCGATTTCTATAACTTCGCGATTTTTTTCCTGACAATATATTGTTCGTTTTGAGTCTAGATTCTCAAGATTTTGGTTTTGAGGTGCATGTTAAGATGATTTCTCATAAGCTCACTCATTCTTGCAGTGCTTCATAGTGAACACGTTTAATTTTGGGGTATTTACAATAACTCCTCCATTTCATCCCAGAACACGAATTGTCAGTTATAAATGGTTTCTTATTTATGACCATTAATTTCTCCAGTTCACCGTTCCATTTCACGATGGGATTTGCCTAGAATATTACAATTTATCTCTAAATATCTTTTCTTTTCTTTCTATCCAAACAACCCAAAAAAAAACTTTGTGAGCAAGAATCTCCAAGTAAGGAGCATAATAAGTAAAGGATAATATGAATGCATAAATCATAGAGAGAAGATATATTGAAATTTGAAACAGCTGCTAGCTTCATTAGATATTAAACAAAAATTTCCCTGGTTCGTCCATTTCTTTTGTTTCTTCTTTCAATATTGACATACAGTTGGAAAGAAATTATTTGGAGACAAAAAAAAAAAAAAAGAGCTACCCAAAACCCTATAGTAAATTATTACACTCTACCTCACCATAACTATAAAAGAAAAACCCTAGCTAGCAATTTAGCTAAAGCCTAAACCTGTCCCCTCCTCCGCCGTGAAGAAACCCCAAAAAAAAGATTAATCAACACGTATACTCTATATGCTTTCCCTCACCCTCTCTCCCTATATATATATCAGTAAAAAGAAGAAGAAAAACAATGAATAAAAAATAATACCCCAACCCAGACAAAAAAAAAAAAAAATTTGAGCCCCAAACAGAAAGTTAATTATTTTCCAGGAAAACTAGAATTTCTAATTTTATTATTATTATTATTATCGGTGCTATTATTATTATTACTACTACCATTAGCGTTGCTCGTATTTATTGCGCCATTACTGTTGCTAGCGGTGGCATTCGCATTACTATTTCCCTGGCCACCACCGCCGCCGCCACTAATCATCGAACTAATCGCCGCCGCTAGAGCCGCCGTAAAGTTAGGATCCGCGGCGATAGCGGCGGCCGTATCGGCGAGCGGGTTCTGCTGATGGCCCCCGAACTGAGCGGCGGCAGCACTGTGGTGGTCGATATCTTGGGACATCTGCAGCCCGGAGAATTTGGACTGGTTGTGAAGCCCGAATATCTGGGGCAGCAAGGCAGCTGCAGCGGCGGCGGGGAAGCTGCTGCCGCTGCCACCCTGGGGGAAAGGGAGCTGGATGTGGTGGTGGTTGGGCGGTTGGTGCTGCCTTTGGAGGAGGTGGAGAGGGTTTGGGGTTTGGGTTAGATCCAATGTAACAGTGGGGAACGGCGCCGACGCTGAGATTGTGGCCATGCTGGAGGAGCACGGGAGGAGGGTTCTGGTGAGGAAGTTGGAGTTCATTAGGCCGTCGGCGCTGGACATTGAGCCGGAGAGCAGCATCCTCGCCGCGGAGGATGTCGTCGAGGCCATCGCCATTGCCGCTGGCGGCAGTGGGTGGTTGTGAGTCCCCTCGTAGGTTGTTATCAACACTGTACGGTCTTCGGCGCACCTTTGCACCTGTTTTTGTTAAACACCATCGTTAAAAATCAATATTTGTTTTTGTTTTTGTTTTCCTAGGCATTGCTCATTATGTAAAAGATTAAACTAAGTATGATTTGATTTGTTCGTTGTTTAAGTATGCATGCAGAAATAGGAATCGTAAACAGGACTACAGGAGGCACGAATAAGGACACATATTAGTTGCATGCTATTCCAAGTTAATTTTACACTCAATTAGTTGAATTAATTAGAGGAACGGAGAGAAAAATGGTAAGCAGCTCACTTGTGCATTTTTGTTCCTCCAGAGACATTAGATAAAATTAGATGAATCCTAGTTTTTTTTTTTTTTAACAAAAGATAGCTTGTATTACCAAGAAATAGAGATCACAAACAATTACACCTCTGAATGGAGCCAAACGCAAAAATCAAAACCCCCTAGAAGAGTAGATGAATCCTAGTTATAACAATAATAATCTTATCCATTGCAATGTTAGCTGATTAACTCTTAATATTTTCTAACATTAATCACTGTTTTGAACATAAAGTAAAATGAGATTTTACAAACTTAAATTTTCTAGGTAAATTTAATTCCTTTAGCCTAATAATATAAATTAAGCAAATTGAGATGTAGTAGTTTTATAATTTGTATGGCTCAAATATATGTGAAATATGATCTTAATCTGGTGTGTTATATTTGAAAATTTCCGTTTCCATTTCAATAGAAAGGAGCCAGAAAAGAAAAATGAAATGTGGAAAAATAATAAAAATTAGATACCTGTTTGCGAACGGGGCAACCGGTAGCCATAGTACAGCGATAGTAGGCGCGAGGACACGGATTTCCCTTGGCCATTTTCTGCCCATACTTCCGCCATTGACACCCGTCAGTGATCTAATTAATACCATCCAAAGTTAAGTCAAATCACGCAATTAGTTAACCAGACCAGACCAGACTTCCCCAACTTAATTCGACAAATTTCACACAGTTTCTTTTCAACAAATTCCATACCATTGGAGCCTCTGATCTAGCTCGAACCGACACGCGAGCCTTCCTGATGGTGGCTTCAGTCTGATCAACGCTTTTCGGCGAATTGTTGAATCTCGCTACCTTATTCCCTCCTCCCCACCCTCCTTGATCCGGACTCTCCTCACTCGCCGCCGCTTTCTTCTCTCCCTCGAATGCCGCCATCATCGTCGAACCTTCCTCCGCCGCCGTCGGCGGCGACCTCGACCGGTCCCGGCTCCGTCCTTCCGACGATGACAACGACAGGTCATCCGTGTCGCCGGTCGTGCCGCCGCCGCCAGCCGCAGCGGATGAATTAGCTAGTCCGAGATCCATAAACTGGCGAGGGACCACCACCGCTCCTCCACCGTTGTTGTCCTGCTCGTCCGGCGGCGGCGGCGGGAGCGGCGGCTTCTGATCCTGCATCAGCGTCATTACGTGCATCTGCAGCGCGCTGTAGTTGTTGTTGACTTGATTCAGCATATCTCTCAGCCGGAGATTCTCCACTTTCACCCGCTCCAACTCCGCCTGTAGAATCACCATCTGAGATGATAATTTATATGATATATACAATTAATTAAGAAAAATTAAACAACAATCAACAAATGATTAATTACACTAATCATTTCATTTCCCCCCTGATCAATTGATTAATTAATCAATTAACTTACCTCAGTCTTGGTTCGTCTCTCGTCGGCGTTACTCGAGGAGGTGCCGTCGTCGACCATGGACTGGTCGCTGCTGGTGTTGGGGGTCAGCAGGTTCAACCCGGTCTACACAAAAATTGAACCGTTTCGGGTTCAAATTAATCCGAATTTCGAAATCGAAAAGGGAAAAGTAACCTAATAAATTGAATTTCACGGAAATCGGGTTTCTACTTACATTAACTTTAAACTCCAATCCGCGGTTAGGGTCGTCGGCGGCGGGGACTCTGTCGATACTCATGAGATCGAGGCCGTTGCCAGTATTCCTGTCGGCGAAGAAGTCCATCTCACCGATCAGCTTCCTTCGATGATGATGATCTTCGTCGCTGGCATCGTCACGGGGAAGGAGATTACGAGCGAGGCGGTTGGAGGGGGAGGAGTTGAGGTTGACCGGGAACTGAATTGTGGCCGGTTGAGATGGAGGAGGTGGAGGAGAAGACGAAGAGCGAACTGCGGCGGCGTCGGAGGAGGAGTCCATGAGAGGGAGGGAATTGAGGATGGTTGGAATCTGGTGGTGGTCGCGAGCGAAGAGGAACCTGCAGGAGGAGGAGGGCGGCGGGGCGGTGGTGGTGGCGGTATGACTAGATAGAGTCGTCGAAGTGAGAGTGGAAGGAGAAGGAGGAGGAGGCGGAGGTGTGGCGAGATCTGGTGAATCAATGGAGAGTCCACTGGTGCGGGCTCTGGCCATAAAATCCAAGAGGGAGAGAAAGAGAAGGGAAAAGAATCGGAATTATAATTATAAGATTTTGGGGATCGGGGGAGAAGAAAGGAAGAGAGAGAGTCTGGGAAACGGTGCAATGGACTCGGCAATAAAAAGGGGGAGGGGAGCAGATTAAAACCAGAGAGACCCGAAAGAAAATTTTGATTCAGATTAATTAATTAATTAATTAAATCGGGAGGTGAAGAGTGGACTGTGTGTAAGGCAAGCGGGTTTGTTTGTTTGTTTCTTGTGGACTCCTCTAGTCAGTAGTCGTGCTCGTGGTGGCTTAAATGTGGGGATTTTCTTCTATTTCTTTTTTCTTTTTTGTTTTTCTTGTTTGTGTGTCTTTTTCTTCCCTTGGTTAAAAATTTGTTTGGTTGGACGTATTCAAATTATCTTTGCTTGCTTGACAATTTGACACTCAAGCAATTGGCCGCACCTACTAGTTCAACTTCTGGGTCAGGAGAGAGTTGTGAACAGAAAACAAATAGTAAGAGTGGGATGCCTTGGTTGAAATTACACGTTTGTTTCAGGTTCTTTCTTCGTTGGAAAATGATAGACTAATACGATGATTATTCAAATCAGAGGAAATGAGCATAGTGACAACTCTTTATATTTCTCACTTCACATCGCGACCACCATTATCTCATTAGCATATGGTCCCATCTTGTCTATAATACATGAGTTGTTAATCTAATTACAACATTAAACTTACATTTTTTTTTTTATCTTACACTATATATTTACATCGTCCTACACCCGTTCTTTCATTCGTCAAATTGCACGCTACACTTATAGTCATAACTTATATCTACTATCACAAACACAAATGCTTCATCCAGGAAATAAAACAATATTGTTCAAGTGATTGGAACACAAAATCTTTCTCAACAAACTGATTGGCCGAATTTGCATTTTGTTTTCTGATATATTTGTTGTTGATTGGAAAATGTAGTCGATTTCCTATAATTAGCTAAGCTCCAAAGTATTGTCAACAACATGTGAACCATGCAAGCTGCTGCTGCTTCTTCTTCTTCTTCTTCTTCCACCCTTTCTTTCTTTACTGGTTTTGTCAAAAGCATACAGTGTGGATTAAAATAAAATAAAATGAACACGAGTGCGGCAGACGCTAAGAAGAAAAGAAACCACAAAAGGCCAAACGACTGTGTTGGCAACAAGGTTGTCAAACCGGTTTATGCCAGTGTGCCGGTTTAGCAAGTGGAATGGTTCAACCGGTGGCACATACCGGTTTGTGCCGGTTCATGCCGGTCAATATTACAAATAAAATTATAAATACTCATATTTAAACATGACATTTAACATCAATACCTAAACATTTATATTTGAATCCAACAAATAACATCAATATTTAACTTTTATACTCATAAAATAAATAATAAAATAATTTTTATCAATTAAATTCTCTAAAATAAGATAATTTTACTTAGAGATTCGTATATTGATCATGCCGGTCATACCGGTGGTGTCACGCCGATTTTATGACCGGTACCGGTTGAACCCGGTACAACCGGTGGCACGCCGGCCGGCGTGACAACCATGGTTGGCAACCATTTTTCTTCATGAATTTGGCGATTTTTATCTTCAATCCATCTGCTTGTTCTCTTTTGCTATGAAATAAATCAGTAAACGTTATTTTAACAAAAACATTATACCAGGTGGATGAAAAGTTAGTCTAGTTTCATTATTCCAAAGGGTTGAAACTACTTCCATTACTTTTATATATATACACACGGGCCACCACTGGTAATCTGGTTCCAAAGAGTTGAAATGAATCGTTAGTGTATGATTTCTTTGAAAATAGGGTAAGAGCAATGCAGACCATTGCATTAACGACACCGAACCATTTCTCTTTGTGTGTAGCTATACATGGCTCTAAGGGTTTTGGTTTAGGTTTCTTGACAATTAATACTGTTAACCCAAAATTCCTTGAGGGTTGGGTGGGGCATTTAGATATTGAGGGTTGGCCATAAATCACTCTATTAAAAATCTAGGTATATGGGATTTGGGTCTGAACTTTTGTTTCCTATTGCTCAGGGTTTAGGACAGAAACCCATAAACCTTACTCGTGCCTGTCGACCATCAATAACAACAGAGTCACCACCGACGACTGCAAATTTTAAGCGGGAAAAATCTCATATATGTTGCCCCTATATATTTAGGTCAGCCTCATTTTTATTAGATTTAAGTAGCAATCCAATATATGTGAGATATGGAAACAAGATTTCTCATCAAAATCCAAGAAGCAAACCACCCCAACCTAAAAAAAAGAACTATAAAAATACTAACCATAAATGCATAAACTCAATGGTGAACAAGGCCTCTTTCAAGGTGAGGCACACTCGATCTTCCGGCAGACTAGCATAGTTAGAGAGTGGTTTGACTTTAACACGAGGATGAACGAAGTGGAGATCTCGATAATTATGGTTAGGGTTCGAATAGAAATTATTGGGCTGACCTAACCAATTTGGTTGGCAAGGCACACGATCTTTTTGTGGCTTGTATTTGTAGTATTGGAAACTGTCTCTAGAAGACCATTGACTAAAATGCTAACAAACCAAGTTATCGATTTTAATCCAACGCTCTTTTCTGATTTTAATTTCTGGTTCCATTTGTTGTTCTTTTGTCCGGATTTTCTTCTCGCTGTTCCTAAATTGTAATAACGGAAGCAGTTGCTAACTGATTGTGATTTATTACACGCAGGTGTAATAAAATTGAAATAATAGGACTTCATCACGTGGACTTTTTCTCATCCAGGAGTCATATGAATTTCTATTTTAACGTGGTTAAAATAAGTGGTTTCGTTATTAAGTATGTACTACCAAATAATGCACTCTTGTGCGAAAATTTCTAACGATAAAAGCCAAACACGGCGTGACTAGATTTGCGCCTTCATTACGATTTCGCTACCGTTATTAGAAATTTTTATTTTCAATGAGCGTTATTGACCAACCTAAGTTTCTCATTCTTCAATTGTTTGTTTACGCGGAAATTTTTAACCGTGTAGGGAACGCGGTTTGACTGAATTTATGCTCTAAATATGATATCACTATTGTTATCGGAAGTTTTGTTTTCGACCAGCATTATTAACCAATCTACGTTTTTATTCTTTTATTGCTTGTTACGAACGAGTCGGCTCTAATCGTGGCCGGTATGTTTCGTGAGGATTTCGTCAAGTAATAGTAAACGTGTGATTTAAATTTTTATGATGCCAATACTGTCACGATGTAGTATAGTGGTGGCCATATGGACTTGTAGTTAAATCGTACAAATTCAATAAATATTCGTCAGCTAGCTGTGACTTACTTAGTATTGATTGGAGTTGTACCTTCTTTAATGGAGATTGTGGTTGTACTTAGAAAAATTGAAAGGGGCATTTATTGTTTTAGTTAAAGTCAGGTACGTAGTAATTTGGTATTGAATCTTAAGGCATTGACGTATTTATGGGCCAAAGAGTGACCACTGAATGCTTTGGAAGTCCGCGTTGTGTTGTGGCCTTTCTCCAGTCAGAATAACGGAAAACAAGTGGCCTTTCCTGGTCTGCTCTCCTTCTTCATTCCAATAATAAGTATTATTCAAGGGAATTCTGGCTTGAAACTAATCAAATCAGCTGTACTCACACCACCAAAAAAAAAAAAAAAAACAGCTATAGGAACAATTCAGCTTCTCGACTAGGCAAATTTAGGGCTAAAATTCATGTTACAATCATATGGTTTTGTTAGATTAGGATATGCCTCTCACTCATGTTTATTATGTGTACAAATATGAAACAGATTTGCTTTTCTAGCTTTAGAAGTCAATGGTTAGTGTGTGAGACACTTAGCAATAAGATTATCATTCCATAGTATGAAGGAAAAAGCCCAATTCTTCGTTATGTAAAAGTGGCTTGCGGGTCATTATTGTGACCTGCAACCTACCCACCCGAATAAATGAGAGTAGGAAATTTATCAAATCACAATTTACCCACATCGATTAGAATTATTTGAAAGTAGATTGGTATCAAACCGTAGATCAACTATCCACTTATACGTTATCCACCCTAACTAGAACTAGGGTTGCAGACGAGTAGAACTCGAACCCGCTCATGGTACTAAGTGTCGATGTCGTCAACAAACCTTTCAGCCTATGCCGGCATTAGTAATAAACATTATCATAAGTTGACGTTTTAGTTTCTTTTTTGCATTCAACCGGAAAAGTCGCGTGGATTCTCAACCTATGACCAGCAGACTCACGTGAACTTTGGTCCATGATCAACCTCCGAAATGAATTTTATGGCAAGATGGATTCTTTTCATGTTTTTGGAAGGACAAGTTGGCTTCTTTCCCTAATTAGGGCTTTGAAGTTTGAATAGTAGGTATGGTTCACTCTAGCGTATATTTGACGTACATTAATTTTATCGTGCGGTTATCGTCTTTAAGTATTTAGACCATAAATTATTTAATTTTTTAGGTATTATATTATATCCTTGGGAGGAGTTATGGTGCTAATTGTACAATAGTTAGCACCGTCCTAACCAATGGTAAAACTACTACTAGTTTGAATTAGTAGTGATTTAGCTTAGATGTTGTATTGATTTTATAATAATCCGTAGTGATTTCGTTATTTTTAGTAGCGTTTTTTGCTAGTTATCACCGTGCTAACCCCTATAAGGGTTAGCACCTAATCGCATCCCTATATCCTTACTTTTAGTGGGTGGACTGCATGTCCTCATTTTCTAAACTCAAATTATAAAATCAATTTAATTAAAAAAGTTAATGAAAATTTTAATTTGTCAAAGTACATCTAATATATGTGGACGCAAACATATATATAAGTTAGACGTACACCAACTTTTGCCCTATATAACAAACGAACTAGTATGACAATTTTTTTTTATAAAGACCTAAGCTAGTTAGCTTCATTAAGGACTAATAACAGCAAGCGAAGGGAAAGATGGAAGATGATGGAGAGGAGAGGAAGACCTCGACTTTGAAGCCCAAGTTGTTTGACAAAAAAGTATATATATCATCGTGAGAAAACCGGTCTAATGTATAATCAACTAATCCGAGCTCGACAACAAACATTTGAAA